ATTTCAAGGAAAACAACAGAGAGGCCATAGTAAAATTCAACAATAAAATTGCTGATAGTAAAACTCAAGCTTTTGAACAAAAAATTAGAATTTTAGAAAACTTATATCCACATTCGCTTTCCAAAAGTATTCTGATAAGATCGATGGTGATATTGGTGAATGTATTTTGATACTGTATAATCAAATGTGTCAACATATAGAAGATCTCAGTGAACCATTATTTTCAAAGTGACCAATGCATGATGTTATCATATCATGCAAGGGTAAAAGATCCAAAGTTCAAGAAAAATCAAGTTTTGATGGAGTATCAAAAAAGAAGCCAAGGCAACATGCCAAAACCCTGTCTCTACAAAAAATACAAAAAATTAGCTAGGGGTGGTAGTACACACCTGTAGTCTCAACTACTCTGGAGGCTGAGGTGGGAGGTTCACCTGAGTCCCCAGAGACTGAGGCTCCAGTAAACCGTGATCATACCACTGCATTCCAGCCTGGGCAACACAGCAAGACCCCATCTCATAAAAAAGAAAAAAAAAAAAGAGGAATATCCACAATGATCTAAAATGGCGATCTGTATGAGACTGGCCTTTCTTCACATTTTTTCAAGCAAATATCACACAATAAATGGAATGCAGATGCAAATGACACATCAAACATCAAAGAAATTTGCAAAAGATGTTAGATTGTACTACTTTGGGTTTAGAAATTTTCTTTTCATAAAAGCATTTATAACAATATTTGGTGAGCTGTTAAAGAATATTTTAAATATTTCTGATTTAATTTCTAGTGATAAATACCAATAGATACACATGAATGACTAGATGGTATAGTCATCCAGCACAACCACAGAATAACTGAAGGCACTGTGTAGAGGAGTAACTTATGACATGGATCTACCATATTGTTGAGTGAAAAAGCAGATTACAAAAACAAAATCTGATTGTTTTAAGGGAGAGGGAACACACACGAGCACAGGAGAAAAAAGATGACCAGAGGACGGGAAAGATACAGAATTTTGATGGTGGTACCTTCTGAGTGGTAGAATTATTGGTATGATTTTCTAGTTTTGCCTAAAAATTTTCTAAACTTCTTAAAATAAGTTTTTGTTATCCATATTATAAAACATCCATCACCCCAGGAAACTTCACCTTGAGCACAAACTCTACAATATGTTCAATGTTTGCTCAGTTTAATATTTAAGAGATGATCTTTTTGGCAAGACATCTAAAATGATGACCTATATTTAAACCTATGCATTAATATTTTTTAAGAGTATGCTTTACATTTTGTAATTTTGATAAAGTTAAGCTTTATAACCATCTTGAAAAGATGAGTGTTCTATTTGTCTTTAAAATATGACCTACAATATGCCAGTTTTTAAACTGTAAATGATGCTCAAAAATCGCAGTATAGCCGGGCGCGGTGGCTCAAGCCTGTAATCCCAGCACTTTGGGAGGCCGAGGCGGGTGGATCACGAGGTTAGGAGATCGAGACTATCCTGGCTAACACGGCGAAACCCCGTCTCTACTAAAAATACAAAAAACTAGCCGGGCGTGGTGGAGGGCGCCTGTAGTCTCAGCTACCTGGGAGGCTGAGGCGGGAGAATGGCGTGAACCCGGGAGGCGGAGCTTGCAGTGAGCTGAGATCACACCACTGCACTCCAGCCTGGGAGCACAGCGAGACTCCGTCTCAAAAAAAAAAAAAAAAAATCGCAGTATAAATTCAGGCAGTGTTCCTTACATGGAGTGTTTAAGTGATTCTAACACTGTTCTTTTTCACCGGTTATGAAAACACAGAACAATTATTTAAGCATCTAAGTATTCAGGTCCTTTCTTTCTCCTCCATTATATTAGTTTTACAGTAATTTTAAGGCCGGTGAGGATGAAGTTATCTGTGACAGCTACCACAAAGCTTACTAGAAGCAGACAAATTTCAAACAGGTTTATCACCACTACCATCCCCACCATACAACTGTCTCAATCAAGGGCAACACAATTCAAGGTTAGCAAGGCAACCTCTTTACCTGTCACTGCTTAAGAAAGGATTTTTTGGTCTTATTTTGAAATAACTTTCTGTATCTATTTTTCTCCATAAATCCACTGAGACCAACGTGTGGCTCTATCTCAAGCACCAACAAGCAAAACTGCCTGCCAGTATGTTCAGTTTCTGTATCTTTCTAAATGTAGGGCATGGCTATCTTTTGCTATCATAATTTTTTGAAAACTGATGCAGAAACTTCTTCTTGAAAGTTCAGCCGGGTGCAGTAGCTCACGTCTGTAATCCCAGCACTTTGGGAGGCTGAGGCAGGCAGATCACGAAGTCAGGAGTTCAAGACAACCCTGGCCAACATGGTGAAACCTGTCTCTACTAATGCTACAAAAATTAGCCAGGTGCGGTAGCAGGTGTCTGTAATCCCAGCTACTCAGGAGGCTGAGGCAGGAAAATCACTTGAGTCTGGCTGGCAGAGGTTCCAGTGAGTCAAGATCGCACCACTGCACTCCAGCCTGGCTGATAGAGTGACACTCCGTCCCCACAAAAAAAAAAAAAAAAAAAAAATTCAGATACACAGCAGTTGTGATTCTTCTGGTTATGGAACACATTACTTTCATACTTTGCTGTTCAATAAATGTGGGGTGGAGAATAAAGTAAATTGACAGAATTATCATGTAAAATAAAATTCTAAGTCCTCTGACAACAAAAGAAACAAAACACACACACACACACACACACACACACACACACACACAGTTTTCCCTGCTAATCATTTTACAACAACCACGTAGCTAACCCAGAGCCCACAAAAGCAGAAAAAAAATTCTAACACTTGGTAAAATAAAAATGCACATATATCCCTGTCATCTAAAAAAATGTTTAAGGATTCAAAGACAGACAGCAATTACAGCTACTGAGAACATCATTGGAAGCAAACTGAGGCAGAGAAAGGAAACGTGCTGATGAGGATTTGAACCACCTAAGCTCCAGAAACCCACTGGGGGTTTCCTAGGTTCCAACTTGGCATTATCTTTCAGAACAATCTTCTAGAAGAGATGACATAACACCGTTACAAAGGATCTGGAGAAAGGGACCCTGGCTTCATCACTCCGGCTCTCCAGGCATGCTTTACATTTTCACTTCTTACACTCTCTTTCATATGAAGTCAATTTACAGACTTCCATCAGGCTCTTAGAGACTTTTTGTACTATCCACGACAAGTTCTTGATGTTATCTCTGCACTTTTGACAAAGTCTTAGCAGTTAACTTACAAAGCAGTTAAGATTTTTGTTCCAGCACAACATAGCTAGGATAGGGTCTGACATTCAACAAAACAAATATTTCCCAAGCATTTATTGAGTGGGAGATAAAAAGCACAAAGCATAATTATAAAACATTCTCCCCTGCCAC